GATATTTGTGATGTTAATCAAAGTGATACAATACATTTTGGGGTGTGAAAAGTAAAGTTCTGAAATCAGTGAAATATCTTGAGTTCAATTCAAATGATACATGTGAGTAAACTATTGACGTAATTTACTATATTGGAAATTCAAATTCTGTCTAGAATTGTGTATCCCTGGAAAAGTTCATTATGGAAGATGATATAGAAAAAGAAGCCAAGGACATCAATTAATTCTTCTAAAGCTTCTATGCATATAAATATTGTTATTCAAGCAAATTGCAAATAGGGAAGCAGTATTTTTGTGATGATTAAATTTATTCCCCTTATAATTTAAAAATACATTATTTTTTCCCAAAAATATACAATTCTGCTAAAAGGTAAAACTTGAAGTAAATTGATAAAAATAAAACATTCATAATGATTTCTTGATAGTTTTTTTTAAATTAATATTATTTTAGATAAGTGAGAGTGGGGAGTAGGGGAGAAAGAATAGGAGAGAGGGAGTGGAGGCAGTGGTAGAGAAAAGGGGAGTGGGGAGAATGGGAGGGAGATAGAGAGTAGGAGAGAGAGAAGGGGTGGGGAGAGAGGAGAGTGGGAGAGAGAGGGGAGGATAGTGGGGAGAGAGAGGAGTGGGGTGAGAGAGGAGTGGGGAGAGAGAGGGAGTGAAGTGGGAGAGAAAGGAGTGGGGAGAGTAGGAGAGAGGGAGCGGGGAGCATGGGAAGGAGAGGAGTGGGGAGAGAGGAGTGGGAGAGGGAGTGGGGAGAGTGGGAGAGAGAGAGAGAGAGAGAGAGAGAGGAGGTGGATGGAGGGAGAGGAAGGGAGTGGGGAGAGAGAGGGAGAGAGAGAGGAAGTGGGGAGAGAGAGAGAGGGAATGGGGAGAGAGAGGGAGTGAGGAAAGTGGGAGAGACAGGAGAGAGAGGGAGTGGGGAGAGTGGGAGAGAGAGGAGTGGGAGAGAGGGAGTTGGTAGAGTGGGAGAGAGAGGAGTGGGGAGAGTGGGAGGGAGAAGAGTGGGGAGACTGGAACAGAGAGGGAATGGGGAGAGGGAGTTGGTAGAGTGGGAGAGAGAGGGAGTGGGGAGAGAGGGAGTGGGGAGAGTGGAAGAGAGGGAATGGGGGGAGAGGGAGTTCGTGGAGTGGGAGAGAGAGGAGTGGGGAGAGAGAGGAGTGGGAGAAAGGGAGTGGAGAGAGTGGCAGAGAGAGGGAGTGGGGAGAGTCGGAGAGAGGAGTGGGAGAGAGGGAGTGGGGAGAGTGGAACAGAGGGAATGGGGAGAAAGGGAGTTGGTAGAGTGGGAGAGAGAGGGAGTTGGTAGAGTGGGAGAGAGAGGAGTGGGGAGAGTGGGAGAGACAGGAGTGGGGAGAGAGAGGGAGTCGGGAGAGTGGGAGAGAGAGGAGTGGGGAGAGTGAGGAGTGGGAGAGAGAGGGAGTGGGCAGAGAGGAGTGGGAGAGAGAGGGAGTAGGGAGAGTGGGAGAGAGAGGGAATGGGGAGAGAGATGGGAGTGGGGAAAGTGGGAGAGACAGGAGAGAGAGGGAGTGGGAAGAGTGGGAGAGAGAGGAGTGGGAGAGAGGGAGGGAGAGGGGAGAGTGGGAGAGAGAGTGGGGAGTGAGAAAGGGAGGGAGTGGGGAGAGAGTGGGTGAGAAAGACGGAGTGGAAGAGAGAGGGAGTGGGGAGAGAGTTGGAGAGTGGGAGAGAGTGGAGTGGGGAGAGAGGGAATGGGGAGAGGGAGTTGGTAGTGTGGGTGAGAGAGGGAGTGGGGAGAGAGGGAGTGGGGAGAGTGGGAAGAGAGGAGAGAGGAAGAGAGAGGGAGTGGGGAGAGTGGAGAGAGGGGGAGAGAGAGGAGTGGGGAGAGAGAGTGAGAGAGAAGAGAGGAGAGAGAGAGAGGGAGAGAGAGGGAGAGAGAGAGAGTGGAGAGAGAGTGGGGAGAGAGAGGGAGTGGGAGAGTGGAACAGAGGGGAGTGGGGAGAAGGGAGATGAGAGAGTGGGGAGAGAGAGGGAGTTGGGAGAGAGGGAGAGAGAGGAGAGAGAGAGAGAGGGGAGAGAGGAGTGGGGAGAGAGAGGGAGTGGGGAGAGTGGGCGAGAGAGAGAGGGGAGAGTGAGAGTGGGAGAGAGGGAGAGGGAGAGTGGGAGAGAGAGGGAATGGGAGAGAGAGAGAGGGAGTTTGGAGAGTGGGAGAGAGAGAGGAGTGGGGAGAGAGAGTGGGAGAGAGAGGAGTGGGGAGAGTGGAGAGAGAGAGAGAGGAGTGGGGAGAGAGTGGGGATGGAGAGAGGGAGTGGGAGAGAGAGTGGGTGAGCGAAAGGGAGTGGGGAGAGAGTGGGGAGAGAGAGGGAGTGGGGAGAGTGGGAGAGAGAGTGGGAGAGAGAGAGGAGGGAGAGAGAGAGAGAGAGGAGTGGGAGAGAGAGGGGGAGGAGAGGGAGGAGAGGAGGGGAGAGTGGGAGAGAGGGAGGGGAGAGAGAGTTGGGAGTGGGAGAGAGAGAGGAGAGTAGAGAGAGAGTGGGGGAGAGAGGGAGAGGGGAGAGAGGAGAGAGAGGGAGTGGGGAGAGAGGGAGGGGAGAGTGAGGAGAGAGAGAGAGGAGAGTGGGAGAGAGAGGGAGGGAGAGGGAGTGGAGAGAGGGAGAGAGAGGAGTGGGAGAGAGAGGGAGTGGGAGAGAGGGAGTGGGAGAGAGAGAGGGAGAGAGTGGAGAGAGAGAGAGGGAGATTGGGAGAGAGAGTGGGGAGAGGGAGGGAGAGAGTTGGGAGAGAGGGAGTGGAGAGTGGGAGGGAGTGGGAGAGAATGGGACAGAGTGGAAAAGTGAAGAGAGAGAGAGGAATGAGAGAGAAAGGGAGTGGGGAGAGTGGAGAGAGAGAGAGAGTGGAAAGAGAGATAGTGGGGAGAATGGGAGAGAGAGATAGTGGGAAGAGATGGAGAGAGAGAATGGGAGAGTGGGAGAGAGACGGGAGATTGTAATCTAAGTTTTCAGTTTAAACCCTATATTTTAAAAGTAATCCTAGAGTGTGTTGTGATAAAAATTAAACATGTCCTATGTTGCGCATTGAAAAGTTAAGTTGAAGTCATTGTCGTCGCCTCCAAATGTCTTTTGCTATGTCTCAGCGCTAGTGGATTTCCAAAATACGGACACCGTGTACGAATGCATGAACCTGCCCCTCACAGTCCTTCCAGAAGCACTTGGTCTATCATCTGTGTTCCTAGCTGCTTGAAACGTACGTTTGATCGCTGAAAAGACGATTGATGTATACCAAATGCAGTTGTGTCTTTCTGTTACGTAGCTCCAACTAGCTCGGTTGCATTCATCTTTGTTTAGGCGTGACATTGCAGCATCAACATTGCAATCAAATTTTAAATATGGGTTTAATAGGAATGTTTATTGTTTCTCTAAATCCAAAATATCAATGAAAATAGACCTCCGATTTACAGGAAATCATGTAAAACACTATTTTCATAAACATGATCAATCAAGGGAAATACTTAGTAATTAAACTCTTAGGTTTTAAAAGTTGTCCATTAAATAGGTCTCATGTATCCAATGATAAAAAAGATATAGTTGTTCCATATACTTTTTCAAAATTTCTTTGATGAGTAAAACAATATGCGTTTCTTTTTTTGTTGAGTATATATGTAACAGAAATAAAGAGGCTATACTGTAATCATTTTTGACATCTTAAGTATCGGTTACTAAATAGACAGTGAAAATACTAAACAAAACCCTGACAAATATGTGTCAAAACACGACAGAAAAAGCAAGGTCGGTCGTCCGAACGAGACAGCATGTGATTTAAAAAAATGTTTTTATACGGCTAAAACGAAGTCAAAGACAAAATATTTGTTGAGACAACTCAAAGTTGTTTGATTAAATTTTGTTTATTGATTTTAGAATTTGGTATATGTGATTTTTCAACGGTGCGTACAAATTCGAAGACACAACAAGGATTTAAAAACATGGTTCTTTTTAATGAAAATGGATATTTCTATTCATGACGTTCTTATAAATCTAGCGCAATTATATTGATGACGCTTGAAAATCAGTGTGTATTGTTGTAAATTTTAATAATTAAACAAATTGTAATCTATACTTAAAGATTATTGCTAGCATTTTGCAGTGTGACATAATAAAGAAAAAATAGAGTGTGTCCATGAACATGTATTAAAAATTTATCTAAATGTTTGACGTTATAATGAAATTAGTGTAACGTCTGACTGGTCCGTGCGCACTATCCGCGGCCTTTCAAGACCCCGATTTTTACAAAAATATAAAGTTACATCAATAAAAATAAAATCTACCTGACTTGGATTTTCATGAGATATATTTTGATATATATTAGAGAGATAGAACTATTTATTTTAACAAAAACTTAAATGTCCACGAACTTTTTCGACAACCCTCGTATATACAAAATACTAACTGCGTGATGTTGACCTTGAAACTTGCGTAAAACTACCTGTAAATAGTACCATTTAACATTAATCTTAAAACAAACCTTGTTCGTTGTTCTTGTTTTGAAGTGGAGGGGCTTTCTTAAAATATACACTACATTTGGCAAGACGTTATCAAATCTACTGTGATTTTTGACCTCAGCTACGAACTTAACCTTGAAGCTTGAGAAAATCTATATTGTAGAATTTTTTTTACAAGGAGGACAGGCTTTCATATATTTGTATTATGCATTACCTGTGACAATACTTTTCAAAAAATACCTTAATGATTTTTTACCCCATTACCTTCACGTCAAAAGTTGACTTTTAAAAACTTGAATGTTGGTTCCAAATTTTGCTCAAGAAAAAAATATTTTTTAAAAATTATAAGCATGATGGACATCGAATACATGTCAGGCAAGACAGTTACAGTCCAGTTTGGGTATAGAACATAGTTATAGAGATAAATAAATATCTCTGAAGCAACAGAAAACGCTTCCTAACCTAACCTTAAGAAATAAAGAATTCCTTAAAAACACTAACATGTTTAAATATTTATTTACTTCAAGTACATGTATACAAAAAAGTTGTTTTTGCATACCTTCTGTCATATTGTTTGAATAATGCTTATAATGGGAAGGGCTATAGCAGAATCAAATTACAAACTGAAATTACAGACGAAAGCTTTCGCCTCTGTCGCTGAAACTGAAAAAAAATATTCATGAAGTAAAAGCATGCAATTTAGAAACAATTATCAGATTACAGCTATAATTTCCATTTTCACCAAATATTTCTCTTTGTTATACTACAATAAATATATTATAGATTTGAGGAAAAGGAACATTTCAACTTCTAATAAAAAGGCATTGATTGAATACATATCTTACTGAATTCTTTTGACGGCTGTAGTGTGATTGGTCCAGATGTTGGGCCACACTCGCCGCACCATCCAGTACACACAAACGATATCTGAGAACCATCTGTTGACCGATCCAAATTTTTCACTTCTGCCCACCAGCCACTTATTTTACCCCATTTTATCTGTAGATACATTAATTCATAATTATGTTATCTAGGAATTCCTCAATAAGTATATGGTATCTACAGATACATTAATGTACATGTAGTTGAAACATTTGAATATGAATTAACAAGTTTCTCGTGATTATACTATATAAAATTATATCTGTGGCGTTGTTTCGCAACATTAATAAAATTAAAATTAAAATCAGGTCTTACAGTAGGATCCACGATCAGCCCTGTCCCCATAGAGTTGATGACAGCTTCTGAGAAGCGTGGGCAGGGGTTCCGAAAAGATTCGCCATTGCAGTCAGTGCTTTGTCCGTACTCAATCGTGGGTGAACCAGTCACCGAGGTGAATGTGTAATCATTGCAATATATTTCCATATTCTAGATTATCAATATAAATCAAGGTATTGCAATGCATTGACTCCAACATAGTAGAATACAAAGTAAATTTCCATATTATTAAATGAACTAAGCTGAATATTTTTTCCGCTTTTTTTCAACTCATGCTGTTATTTTTATACATACATAGAAGGGTCTAATAAGAACCGATTGGAGACAAAAACTAATTCCTATGTCATGTTTAGTATTTTTAAACATAGCTTTCAATTGTATACTACTTTTGCTGACACTTAAATATATATGTACCTGAATATTTATTTTTACTTTTGAAAAATCGACCCTCTTTAAGGTGGCTTGATTGTTGATTGGCATTGTATAAACTTCAAATGCCAGTTTGATTGATCATGTTGAATGAAATAGTTTGGATTTTTCAAAGTTATGTATTCAGATGGAAATAACTGCACATTGTGGCAATAGATCTTGACTCGTTGTCCATTTAATGCTTCGGGATATATCCAGTATTCCCCATTCTTCTTTAATCCAGAAAAATGGACAAGATCCAGGCAAGACCTGGGTACTGCAAAAAAAAAAAAAAAAAAATTATATAAACCTTGGGGTAGTGGGAGGGGAAACAATTTTTCCGTCTTTGGAGATCAATGAGTTATATATCTAAACAAAAATTTATGTAGATATACGTTAACAAGCTATGTTATATGAACTTTAAAAACAATTTTGGGATTTTTCTTTTCTAATATGATTTTTGGGGTTTTCTTTTCATTAAGTATTTAGAGGTTTACTATTAAGAAGCGCTTCCAAGGATATCATGGAATAGAAGGTAATGGAGGAAGAAATAGACTGAGGAGTTGTTGTATTTCAATGTCCAGTAGGTTAAAATTATTCGGGATCCGACATTCAAATACTACATACAGATTGACTGCTTGGTAAAGAAAGTGTTGAGCAAGGTCGACACAAGCACAGGGATATATGGCATACATACCTTTGTTGATTTTCATGAAAATTAGTTTGCTACAGGGTCCTCTTTTTAGATTTGATGATTAGTGAACATTTTTTATACACGGTATTTTACATTATTTTTTGCTGCTTTACAATGTCCTCAGTATAAAATAGCTGGAATTTATATTTTAGATCTGTGAATGACAAATGCAATATTTTGGAAGACTTGATATGTCTAAAGAGTATGCATAATGGTGCTTTTACCATTCTCTCTCTCTCTCTCTCTCGATTGAAACAAAGTTAAAGCAAACTTCTTACGTTCATAATTTCTGAAGATCTGGAATTGCGAGAAATATACCAATATTATAATTAACAATAAAAGCAATTTTCTTCAATTCGTTCATCAACTGCGTCAGTCATTTTATATAAAGCCATTTTAATGAAATAGACATTTTATCGCTCCTATTACATCTGTACATGTAAATAAAACCTATACTTATCTAGGTCTTACCCATATTGTCATTTTATCGTTTTTTACTCCAGGAATGAATTTTGTGTTTCATCCAGACTGCTTTGAAGTGATGTCAGATCATTTGTCAGTTCATTTGCAGGTGAACATGCAGATTGGTATCAGTGTTCTTTAAATGATACATTAAATGTCATTTATCACAATAAAGATATAGATATCATGGAGTTATTACCGTCTTCCTTGGAAGACGGTATTATATAGTTGAAGTTTTTTACAGTCTTCGGACTATGCACTTCCTGTCTTCTGTGATTGGTAGAAATTGCATGATGAGAAAATTTTCAATTATTTCATTGGTTGAAATGCTGTTCAAGGCAAGGGAGACAACTTTCTGATGGTCTAATTTTCGTACGACTTAACAATTTTTCAATATTGGTTACAGACTACTAATTTTACCCCCATTTCATTGACCACTCAAGTAGTTCCAGTTTAAAAATAGAGGTTTTTTCTTAAAAATTCTTTGGGGTGTTTATGGGGTGGAATGATGTTATTTTTGGGTATAGATGGAAAGGAGAGGGTTTGACAAAAAATATAAAATTGTTAATATGTGAAATTTTGCACTTGCGCGCGTAGTAGGAAGGGTGTAAAGAGGCCCATATTTACCCTTTCCCCGAAGAGAAAGTGAAAAAAGCAGGGTAGGGGTTATTTGCGATGCCTTAGCAGGAACTGCATGCGATGAATTTTCCTGAGAGTCTGAAAAATGTTTGGACTTGAATTCTTCTTACTCTGTGCCAAGTTTCAGGTAAGTTGAGCTGGTGTAATTTTTTTAATCATTTTTTATAGTATAAAGGAATGTATAGCAAAATAATTGGTAGTCTGTGTCCTATGAGGTCAAAGGTCAAATCTCACGTTAATCAATTTACTGGCACTTTTTGGATAATTTGGAACTAATTATGCAAATTGTTGACAAATTTTATGGAAAAATTTGTATTTTGGAGAAGTTAAATGGATTTAAATAATTGAAAAGGGGGAGGGGGGCACCTGCTCTCAGCTTGTCAAAGGGATGACGTAATGTGTGCAATTGATGTGTGTCAAACATTTATGCAATATGAATTTTGATTCTATATATAATGTTGTAGGTGACATAAAACCCATTCCTCACCTATCCTTCTATTTTAAATGCCAAATGGAGTTCAAAAACCAAGGTATGTTTTAAACATTTGATAGCTCAGATTACACTGTTGTTAATAGGAAAGTAATGCCTAATTTCTCAAAACTTAGGCTACTTGGTGTCTGTAATTATAGTTGACACAGTTACTTATTAATTTGACACAATTACTTATTAATTATGAATGTGAACTAAAGTTGAAATTCTTAAAAATTTATTTTTTTTCAGTGGCTCATTTCTAGCTGACTGATGTGGGATTGCAAGCAGTTATAGCCTGGATGGGTGGCTTCATAAAAAATCAGGCCAGTTGCCAGTCAGAAGTGAACAATTTTGTACCAGTAGCAGAGACAATGACCATTCAGAAAACAAGATACAGCTGTCAACAATATTACAGTTCACAACAGCCAAGTTAAAGGTATATAGTCAACTGACTCTTAAGTTTGTATTATTTTTTTTTTGTGTGTGTGTTTGATTTCTTTTTTACACTGTTTTCATCTGTCATCATCATCTCTTGCCAATCAATGTGTACTCTCTGAAACTTTCTCTTTTTCCTTCTTCTTTTGGAATTGAATATCTGCTGTCTGATTGCTGGCACTGATCTGTGATTGTCCAAGACAGGGGAGGTCAGTAAGGTGCTCAACATTTCATATGGGATGTTTGGTCCTACTGACTTCTTCTACTCTTGTGGCCTCTTGGACATCATTGTCAGTGGTCGCATATCAGACAAAATCATCATTTTTTGACAAGGACATGTGTTTTCAAGATTTTGGATAAACACTGTGCAGAAATAGTGATACACAAGACAGACAGAATTTATGTACTCCATTTTAATAGAACCTTCTCTACCCCCCCCCCCCCCCTGTTTTAGCTTCCAAGCATCTCCAGGAGTGATTATAGGTGACACAGGCATGGTATATTTTCTGTGCTGAACCATTGAAAGTATATAGACATGCTTTTTAATCATTTTGTTTTTTTTTTGGTACCTTTACAGTGCAGAGTTGCCTCCCCTTTCTCTACAGCAGCCTGAAGAATGTATGTAGGTAAAATGCATATATAAATTCCTTTTCTTGTAAATTCAGAATTATAAAATCCAAAATTTCACAGAATTTTTGGTATTTATTATCTAATAATGCATATTGTTACAAGAAATACCCATCAAAGAAGTCTTAATATGACCAGGGATAATCCAATTAGAGTAGTAAGTACCACTTCCTGACAGAGGCTGAATTGACCAGGTTGGATAATCTGCTTATAACAAAGGTATTAATCTCTTTCCCTTAACTTTTATACTAATTTTTTATAGCCTATATATTGTAGAATTTTTTAATATTTGTTTTACTAAAATTAAAATGTGCTAAATATTTTTATTTTTAATATTTCCAAGAATTTTATGCTTTTTGAAGGTATTTTTTTGAAAAATTGTTTAAAATATTTACTTATGCAATAGGTTAAGTTTTGTTCTTGAAATTTGTGTAGGACATATATATCTAGTATACAAAAATATAAGGAAAGAAAATAACTGTCATGCATGTGAGCTGTGAGCATTTCAAATCTGAGAACTGTGTGCCTAATGCTTATTTTACCCTCTGATTTAAGGTGTTCCAGCACATCAATTAAAGGGCCATAACTCTGCTTAGGAATCATCAATTTCAATGAAACTTCACCGGCCATTTTGTAGATACAAAAGACTCCAGCATGTCAAATTTCAGCAAAATCAGACAAGGTTTGTGTCCTTATTAGGTTACAGACTACTAATTTTACCCCCATTTCATTGACCACTCAAGTAGTTCCAGTTTAAAAATAGAGGTTTTTTCTTAAAAATTCTTTGGGGTGTTTATGGGGTGGACTGATGTTATTTTTGGGTATAGATGGAAAGGAGAGGGTTTGACAAAAAATATAAAATTGTTAATATGTGAAATTTTGCACTTGCGCGCGTAGTAGGAAGGGTGTAAAGAGGCCCATATTTACCCTTTCCCCGAAGAGAAAGTGAAAAAAGCAGGGTAGGGGTTATTTGCGATGCCTTAGCAGGAACTGCATGCGATGAATTTTCCTGAGAGTCTGAAAAATTTTTGGACTTGAATTCTTCTTACTCTGTGCCAAGTTTCAGGTAAGTTGAGCCGGTGTAATTTTTTTAATCATTTTTTATAGTATAAAGGAATGTATAGCAAAATAATTGGTAGTCTGTGTCCTATTCCCAATCTTAAAAAAATGACAAAACGAACAGCAAAATCAGCAGTAACTAATTCTAAATAATAATATTTTTAATAGCAATAACTAAACAGGTCTCTTTATTTTCATCAAGTTGCAAATAAGATTTGAGTTTTATTGCTTGCTGGCTTTACAATTTGCATTTATTCTTTTCCCTTTATTTGTTTGAAGAAGGTAACATTTAACGGATCGGCCGGGGTTTGCCGAAGGTCTCAGTCAGTTTACGGAGATGACCGAGCGACAACCGCGGTAGGGCTAATACCAGTAAAAATCTAATGTAGAAATACGAGATCAAGAAATTCAAAAGAATTATAAAACTTGAAAGATGTAGATTAGTTAACTGTTTAAGGTTGTTGCTAAAGACGGTACTAAGCTTTTTTAAAAAGCTTTACTTGTTTTACTTATAATATCATTCAAGCTTAATTAATCAATTTGACAATCTTTTTTTAAAGAGTTGAGACATTAAAAGGGATGTAAAAAACTTTTTTTAGTAATAATCTTAATTTGCTGTGATACATGTAAATGAGTTAACTGTAAAATCACATATTTTTGGGGGGGTCAAATTTTCGTGGTTTGAGAAAAAAAAACTTGGTGCATGGGGATTTGATTTCGTGAGTGGAGAACTTTTTAGTAGTTATGTATGTAACATTTTACATTCCGTGATGGACATAAAGTGTGGGTCTCTTCATACCTCGAAAGCAACGAAAATTAACCTCCCATACACGAAAATTTGTGGTTTGGTACACAGGGCCAGTAACATGCTAAATTTGAATTTTCGTAATGACTATATATACACATCTCTTTTTGTATGTTTAGCCATTACCTAAATTTAAATTTAGCATGTTTCTGACCCCTGTGGTTTTGTTTTGTTAATTATACTATGTGTTGACATTTTTTGGTTGTTTCTTAATTTTGATGATATTATTAAATATCATAACTGTCATCATGACTGTCCCTCCCATTTTTCCACACGATTAGTTTAAAATTTCACTGATTTTGTCTTGCTATATTATAATGATAATAAAAATACATGTATTTAAAACTATTTATTAATTGTGAATGTACTGAATTATTTATCTTAGTGTAGTCTACTTGATTGCCAAGTTATTTTGAAATCAGACCAAAACTGTAGGAGGAGTAGCATTTTGAAAATTGTTTACAGACAGACAGACTGATGGACGGACGACAGGCACCTAACTATCGAATAAGCTCTTCTGGTCTTTGACCAGTAGAGCTAAAAACCATTCAAATATATTAACTTTTAAAAATTGACTCTAAGGTAGGCGGGAGAACTATACTATCGTTCGTAGTTCTTTAGTCTAATTCCAAGGTTTTACGTACCCGAAAGTGCTTCCACTTTCCAGCGTGTAATAACCGACATCTCCAACGCCCACACTTCCATCAGGGTTGTAAATTACGTCAAAAAGTTTACAAGATGCCTCAGTAAAATTGTATAAGAAGGAAACACAGTTACTGTTCTCAAAACACTGCAGACTACACTCAGCAAGGCTAGAGGAGATTCCAGACCAAACCGACAACGACGTATCAACATGGTCTATTTTTATTTTTGTCTTCCTAAAGTACATTTCGTCTTAAAATATTTTTTTTAAAATCACAGTTAAGTTTTGAATAAAGATTTTAATTTTTTGTGCATATAATTATTCATATCTAAACTTACTTGCTTAACCATCCGAAATTATCACCAAAGAAAGACATACATGGAAGCCTAATCGAAACATATCCCATCATATATAATATACATGTATATAGGCATCGATCCGACACATCCCTTTATATTTCAACATTTTATTTGAAAAGATGTTGATGAAAAACTGACAACTAGACTTTACTGCCTGAATGATAATCATGGTGAATTTAATTTCCTCTCTTCAACTTATGTATAATATAAAGGGATAAGTTGGATCTGTGCCTATATACATGTATATTATATAATATACTTTGTTTATTCACGTACAGTGGGATTAACAGAATCAATTAAATATGAAGATAACGAATATTAATCATACCCAAAAGTCTTTTTAACAATACAAAACAGGAGGAGAACAAAGCTCTGAAACATCAGAGGTGGGATCAGCCTAGCGCTTAGAAATTAAAGTAAATGTTGTCTATTGATAAAACGTCGTTTTCCTGTAGGGTGTGAGGTAAATACGGTATGTTTCAATTGAATACAGAGACAGATTTGCTCATAAAAGGGTCACAATAAGTACCCATGGGAATTCTAACAGATTGTTGGAAAACCCCTACTCATGAATATAATTGATTATGATGGGTTTTGATTTGTTATTTTGAAATTCAAACGTAAAAGCAATATATTTGATATTCGCTTCACTTTGTTTATCCTTTTAATATAAATATTTGATAACATTTACTGTATAGATTTAATATCTGATACCATGCAGAAAGGATGTTCCCCTGAAAATGGAAATTTAATACATGTTGATTTCAACATTTTACTTGTGATTTATTTTAATGTACAAATTTTCCAATGAAACTGTTTTAAATAAATAATTTTTTTTTTGAGAAACTGTTTTATCAGTAATTCATCATATAAATGATATTACGATGGTTGCAATTTTACTAAAAACAATCAGAGAATGAGACCCTGTGAACAACGGATTCTTGTTAGATGGGGTGAAATAATCATTTCAACGATGAAATCAATTGCCATATTGTAATACTCTTGTCTATCATATCGTGTCTGATTATCATTCAAAAGAAGTTTTAGGGTTTTCCACAAAGTATTCATCATGGCGGGCGCCATGGTTAAATTTATCTGTAACATTGTTAAGCGAGCGGCTCCATTGTCAAATTCGGCAGAAGAGATGACGAAATTTTATCGCTTATCTAATGACTTGAGTAGTTAATTGTATATATACTACATGGCTTGGAAGCTCCTAAGAGAGAGAGAGAGAGAGTGCAAAATTAGCCCTTACTGTTCAAAAGTTAATGGCCAAGGTTAAGATTTTTAAAATGTAAAGCAAACTCCAAGATCAAGTTAAAAGAGTCGGAGTTTTTTATTCCAGTGAAAGGTTTTATCACAAGGATTAAATATGTGAAGTATGAAAGCCCTAGCCTTAACCTATAAAAATTGATGGTCAAGGCTTGTTTTTTAAAAGTAGGTCAAACTCGAAGGTCAAAGGGTCAAAGCTTTTGGTAGCCAAAAAAGGTCTTTTCACAAGGATCACAAATGTGAAGTATGAAAGCCGTAGTCTTTACCGTTAAAACGTTTTGGCCAAGGATAAAGTTTTTAGCTCACCTGAGCCGAAGGCTCAAGTGAGCTTTTCTGATCACATTTTGTCCGTCGTCCGTCCGTCTGTAAACTTTTCACATTTTCACATCAAACTTGGTACAAAGCATCCTTGGGTGAAGGGGAGTTTAAATTGTGAAAATGAAGGGCCAAGTCCCCTTGCAAGGGGAGATAATCAAGAAAAGACAAAAATAGAGTGGGGCCATTAAAAAAATCTTCTTCTCAAGAACCACTGATCCTCAAAAGCTGAAACTCATATGGAAGCATCCTTGGGTAGTGTAGATATCAAATTGTTAAAATCATGACCCCCAGGGTTTGGACAGGGCCACAATAGGGAATCCAATTTTTACATAGAAATATATAGAACAAATCTTTAAAAATCTTCTTCTCAAGAACAGCTGAGCTAGGAAAGCTGAAACTTATATGGAAGCATCCTTGGATAGTGTAGATATTAAATTGTAAAAATCATGACCCCCGGATGAAGGGCGGGGCCACAATAGGGAATCCAAGTTTTACACAGATATATTAAGGAAAAATCTTTAAGAATCTTCTTCTCAAAAACCACTGGGCCAGGAAAGCTGAAACTTATATGGAAGCATCCTTGGATAGTGTAGATATTAAATTGTTAAAATCATGACCCCCGGGGGTAGGGCGGGGCCACAATAGGAAATCCAAGTTTTACATAGAAATATATAGAACAAATCTTTAAAAATCTTCTTCTCAAGAACCACTGAGACTGGAAAGCTGAATTTAATGTCGTAGCATCCTGGGGTAGTGTAGATTCTAAAGTATTAAAATCATAAAAGGGAAGAGGGTAGTGGGGTACGATAGGTATAGCAAGAGGGGAAATCTGGTAAAGAACTGCATCACCCAAGTTACTCAGGTGAGCGATGTGGCCCATGGGCCTCTTGTTTTCATAAGTACAGAAATTACCAAGGTCAAAGTTATTTGTATCCTAGGAGTCTTTCCACAAAAAGTATCTACTGTTCAAAATTTATGGCCAAAGTGAAACTTTCAAACTTTTTTGTAAAAGTGGGCCAAAAAAGGTCAGGATCAAAAGGTCAAATTTAGTGGTACCCAAAGAAAAGTCTTGTTACAAGAAATATATATGTGAAATATGAAATTCATAGGTCCACTAAATCAGAAGTTATTGACAAGGTTAAAGTTTTTGTGACGGACGGACAGACTGACCGACGGAAAGACGAATTAGATTTAATGTCCCCTCGCTTTCTCAAAAGCGTGGGACAAAAATGACATTTTGACCCCTGATAGTTTTTAAAATCTTTTCACAGTTCTTGTATATGTTATGTACCAGGGGCCCGTTTTACAATAGAACGAACGAATAAGACCAAACCATTAGATTGTTTATAATATTTAACAATATTGATTGTATTCTTTTTAAAATTGTTAGCATAAAATATCATTTTCAATTTCTTTCAGGAAGAATAAAACCATTTAGATTAATGTAAGATAAAAAGTTATAAGCAGAATTAAATGTTGGTCTTGGGTGTTAGTTCTTTAGTAAAACGGGCCCCAGGTAAAAAGATTTAAAATAGAATGCAGCTTAAGTTGTCTTTGATTGCCAAAGTATTATACATGCTATATTTCGTTGATAAAACCAGCTAGAATGATAGAAGAGAGCATATAATTTCAGCTTCATTCCAGAAAATATGGCAATGAAGTTATGATTCATCGAGTGAGTTAAAGATATATGATAAGTCCGTGTCCTCTTGTCTATGCGGTGTAATTAAGATTTTTACTCGCACTTTTCAGAGAAAGTTCGGGTATATTATTGTTTCCCGGTGTCAAAGATTGATATTTTAAAGTTCCAATTTTTGGACCAATTTTTTTGTTACTTCTTCTTTGCATGCATGATGATTTAAAATAAATATGAATACAAATACAAAAGATAAAGCCAACAAAATGATTTTATTAATATACATCTTGTGTAATCATATTTCTACTTTTTAACCAGAATCTGCGTTTGTCGAAACCAAACTTGTATCGAATTCGCAAATAAAATTTCTTTTCAGCGTGCAGTTGTCTGTAGCCCATCGGAAGTCTCTATCGAGTGACAGGTGAATACAATGTCCATCAGAGATGGGGTACTTAGGTTCATCTGCGAGCCAATTTGTATAATGCCTGCTGTGTTCTAAATCTGTACCACCGAGCCAAAATGTGGCGTTATATGGATCTATAATATATTAACCATATCATGTAAAATATGCGTATCATTTTATCATATGTTTAGAAACATCAAGTACAAGAACTACTCCAAGATGGGAAGGAAAATACCTTTGTTGAATTTCCAATGCGCTTCTGCAGTGTGCCAAGAAGAAATTCCTATGAAGTTAACAGTGTGTGGCTTTGGGTCTGTCCACTTCATAAATTTGCCATTACCGATTTCTTTACCCTCTCCAGTCTCAATTGTTCCGTTTTCCCAACTCACCCAGAACGGTTTGAATGTATTGCAAGATAGTGGACTGTGGGAAGCGTTGGCCATTGCTTGTCCTTGTTTGTCTATACGTATGACGGATTGGTTGTTTTTCCAGCCCCCTATTACAATTTCATAGGCGTTTACAGAATCAGTTCTGCTTTCTGAGAGGATTAAATGTGCGTCGTTACATCCCATTACTTCAAATTTTATGCGTTTTTCTTTTATTATAAAAGAATGAAATGTGAGGTAGTCATCTAAGTAATGATATCTGTATTTAGGAGGTAGATTAATGTTCTCGTTGGATCCTGAAGAAGATAAACATCACTCTGTAAAATGCAAGTCTTCACCGACGACATCTTATTATTGAGAAACAGAGAAGAGAATTTTTCGTACCTTTAAAGTGTTCGGAGATGAAATTTTCCAGAATTTGCTGTTTGCCAGCATTGTGTATTGTAGAAAGTGATCCTCCGATGTCTTGACATTTCTCCTAATTAAAATATATATATATTCCCATCAAACAACAAGGTCAACTTAGGACCCTTTTCAACACTGTTAATTTGTGAAATATCAAAGATAAATGAAATAAAATTGGAGCCTGTTTTCAGCAATAGTTGAGACGTTGAATGTCACAAAGTCTCAGACAACTCTGCTATAGGAAAAATGGATATCTACTTTAAACTGCTGTTTGAAGTAGGACAAAATTGGTTGTATATTGTTTTACGCCCCATTCGAGAATTTTCACATATGTACAGATACATGTATCACCGTATAGCTGTGATTGGACATCAATTAGACCTTTACTAGACACTCGGGTCATTGAGCAATGGAGGTTCGGATCAACGCTATCAGTGACACAGGGCCGCGGTTTTTAAGGTCTCATCCAAAAGACAATACTCACATCAAAATTACCAAGCGCTTAATTGGGAAAGAATTGGGATGCTCACTCCTCCATGGCACCTGAGACCACCTTTGATGATGTGGAGGTCCGGGTTTGCTTGTATTGTTTTATGGACTTTTGAATTTGGATATCTTGGATACTGTTCACTATCTTCATATGCTTCATTGGCTATGGAAATGCAGGTCTATTTAAATGAAAGCCCTTTTTTGGAGAGGAAATAATTTAAGAAGACAAGAAAACAAAATTTGGAGAAATTGTTATTTTAAAAAAGTCACTGAGCCCATAAAACCTACGTATATGGTTTGAATTTCTTTACGTGCATGTTCATAATTCGTTATAGTGGCGCAGTTGTTAGAGCGTTTGCCCCAGAGTCGCAGTGTAAGCTAGTAGTTTATCCATACGTCGCGGATTAAATCTCTGTGTGATATATATTACGCGAAAACCGTTTTTTCGGATGAGACCATATAAACCGAAGTCCTGTTTTGAAGTTGGTGCTTGCAATTACAGTATCTCTCACTGATCAAAACCCCAACGTGCCGAGTACAATTATTAATTTGCTGCCCTCCATCGGCAAATGGTAGCAATTCAGTATGAGTGAAAAGTTTCTAAAGGTATGTTTCATAGACAGTCAGACCTATGTACATCTGGCCTGGGGGACATAAAACTTAGACGAGCTCACTTTTGATCTCAATCTCACTTTTACCAAAAGAATATAAAGCGGGAAAGTGAGACTGAGATCAAAAGTGAGCTGGTCTAATTTTATGGCCCCCAGGCCTGAATGAAATTCAGAATGGTTAGCGTACATGAGTAAGTACCCCTGGGTCTCTTATTTAATATTTTGTAATTAATATAAGAAAAAAAAAGTTTTTAAATTCTTTGAGATAGCATTTAACTCTATTGATTCATAAAGTTTCATTTGCAAACACTATTATTTGAGTACCATGTACTCAAAGCAATGTTTTGTGATTTATACCGAAGTGATCTTACCACTGCGTCAGACCAATCCAGACTCTTCTGTTGAGGCAAAGTCAGACATACATTGTGGTACCATAAGAAATCATCTGGACAAGCATCACCACCTGTATATAGTAAAGGACTGTTCACTGTAAACAAAAACTGGTTTAAAAACTAGTTTAAGTCACAAAGAAGACTAGAAAAATTTACTGTCTATACAATCACTACCGTTAAAGTAGTTTTAGGTATTGGGTATATATGTTAGTAAATCTAGAATTGATAAGTATATTTCACTAGGTATCTATATCTAAGTATGTATACGACCCCACCCTTCAACTCACTATCTTAGCCAGTAAACTGAAAGATTACTATCACGACAACTGCTTTACGAAGATTTTCTTCGAGTGTTGAATTACTTTTTTTCAACAAAGATATTGCAAAATGTATTTTAATGAAAAATATCTAACATATTTATAGCTTTCATTTTCTATTATTTCTTTTATCATTTACAGTCCTAAACATTTAAAATTCATAATATATCGCATTCAGATTTTAAATTGCCATTCCATTTCTTTAGTTTCTTTTTATCATGTTAAGTTACGCTATTTTGAGAGAATAGACTACGATTTACTACTTGGTCGTAATTAATTAGCGATAATATTTTTTTTGTTCAATTACGAAAGCCCAGAAGGCTCATTCGAGATTCGAGGTTCGAAATACGAAATTCGAGTTTCGAGATCCAGATTAACCAATCAAAGGCGGGTTCAACATTTAATTACTCCCCTTTATTATGATTTTAATATCAAGAAATCGTTTAATATATTAATAACAAATGAGTCATTTGATTTTAATTACAATGCAAGAAAGAGTGTTATATATATTTAAAGGAAATTTAAATAATCATTGGATTTTTGATCAGCAAGATATACTTCAATTTATATTATGGCGTATCAGGAGTATATATATTTTTGTATTGTCTACTTTGTTGACGACATAAAAATAAAGTTATAAGTAAGTGTCAAGTGTCTAAAATTTAACAATAACCCCACCCCTACCAACCCCATCTGCCTATTTTCCAAACACTGAAAATGTTACTTTGTAAAACTTGGAAGGCGACGTAGTATTGAAAAACAAAAATCGCGTTCGTTTTCCTGATAGAGGAAATACATAAAAATTAAGTTTTTATCTTCATCTAAGGCTTTGATTTCTTGAATTAATTAAAAATTATTTATATACAACACAGATTTGCAATATGAATTAAAATAAATTTGGAATTTATTTTATCTTATATCAATAGTAGATGAGTTTAAATTAGATGCAGAACTATAGCGTTATGCTTTTAAATTTTAGTCTCTGACCATACCGTTATGACCAAAGACTGAAATATACTTTAACCTTGTAACGCTACAGTTCGATTCAGCAGTCAAGTCTCACTGCACAAATGTACCCTTTATAAATGTAATGAAATATATACCCTTCAATTACTGTGCAGTCTGATTCATAATACTAGTATTTCATATTTAATTATAATCAAATACAATATTTTCCCTAAGCAATGATCTGATTAAAAAAACATAGTCGGCCTACTTGTTCTGCAAGTTCTGCAAGTCAACGATAAGACCATATAATATTCCATATATATGTATTTACTATTTTGTTTAATGAGAAAAATAAAATCATATATGTATTTTTCAAAATGTAATCCAGGTTTTATTTTTATTTCGTTTTAATACATAAAACTTTTTTCTTGCATTATCATTTTAGCAAATGACCCATTTGTTATAAATATATTCAACGATTTCTTGATAGTAAAAACATAACAAAAGGAAGTAATCAAATGTTGAACCCGCTTTTGATTGGTTAGTTTGGATCTTGAATTTCGAATCTCGAATTTCGAATCTCGTATTTCGAAACTTGAATCTCGAATAAGCCTTCTGGGCTTTCATATACGCCATTCTGTAAATTGCACTTCAGAGTACTCCACAGAAACATTTATTAGCGCCCCTGATTTCTTTCTTTACAACTGATCATAAACTTAAAATCAATGGAATAGAAGGTAATGGATGAAGAAATAAATTCAGGAATTCGTGTATTCCAATGTCCATTAGGATGTAATTATTCAGGATCCGATATCAATTCAACATACAGATTGAAAGTGTTGAGAAAGGTTGGCGCAAGCAAGGGAATATGATACGTTTAAAACATTGCTGTGATGTCCTTTCTTTGTTTTTGGAGTCTAAAAAATTACCTGTGGCAGTCCGACATTATAGTGAGCAGTCTGATATCAATCGTAATATCTGACTGTCTCAGTACTGATATCCTTCAAAATTGGACTGCTACTGAACAGAATAAATAGAAAGTGTGATACTAAATTAACAGAAATTTAATAATTTAATAATTTCTCACATAGAATGAAGATTTAGAAACATTGATCTTACAGAATTGCCAAATAAAGAAATTAAACTTTCAATTACACCGAATATACTGTGACAGGTAGAAGAACAAACGGCAAACCAAATAATGCAAATAACAATAAACAAAAAAAAAAAACCCACAAAAAAACCGGGTAAACTTCAAATTAACCTATTAAAATTGGGGAAGTGTTTCAACCCCTTTTTCTGGTTTTTGAAAAAGATTGGACACACTGGGGGTCACCAGAAAAGTGCATAAAATTTCAAAGCCCCAAAAATAAATTCATAATAAAACACAAATTTTCGACAATTTGATTTCATTTTTCTCACAGAAAAAAAATGCCTAGATGCAAAATCAAGGTAGCTAAGCCTAGTATATGATAATTAATACTTAATTGACAGATTGGCAACTTTTGAAAGAAATTTGAAGATTTTCAACGCCTTCCTCAAAACTCCTAGATTATTGTTTTTGTTTGTTTTTCTGTAATGGAACATCAAAAACAAAGGTATACGTAGACGCTTAACATAAAAAAATGAAATGGAAGTGTACCTTTAGCATCTGCTTAATTTTCAGTGGATATTTTTCATATCGGCATTTCATTCCAAATTCATCATTCACTAGATTGTCTGTATGATAATTCGGCGCGTCGATTTACCCAAAAGGACACAAATGGACCCATATGGAAACACAAATGGACCCAAATGGACCCAAATGAACATCAAATGGAATATTAGATATGTATTATCGTATTTTAATACTTATTTAAAATGAGGAAAATAAATGAACTTACAGTTAAAAATGATTTTTTTATATTATTAATCTCTAATATTGTATTTTGAAACATGAAGGTTTGATAGTATATTCAATATACCGCCAAAATTATTTGGGGGTAGAGACGGGGGCATGGCTTCCCCCCATCCGTTCCTACGGCCATAGAAACTATCAAATACTTCAGTTTTGTATTCAATTATTTATTACTAAATAGAAGTAAAACGCATTTTAAAAAATATAATTGAAGAAAATAATGATATTAAAATATTCTCTTTTT